CGTCGTCGTCGTCGTCGTCGCCGCCGCTGTCGCGCGCTGGACGACGACGAACTCGGTTAACTCGTTCGCCGTCGCTTGTCGTTGGCGGGAGCGCTCGTTGGAGATGACGAATCCGAACACCGGGCACGTTTCTCGTGCTCGTTTTCCCGATCGACGTTCTCACACCACCGAAGGAATCTCCGTCAACCGCTCACCGGGGAAGAAGACACGCCACACACTGCACACGGCTCAACGCGGCTGGCGTAATCGTCGACGTTTCGCGAGACTCGCGAGAGTTGCGAGAGGCGCGCACTCATATGTATATATGTTTTTCTCTCTCTCTCTCTCTCTCTCTCTCTCTCTCTCTCTCTCTCTCTCTCCCTCTAATATTATTTGATATTTATATATGATTTTTAAAATTAAAGTCATTTCTTTGAGAACCGTTGCATATAAAGAAAAAATCAGGAAATGCAAAGGAAGATTATCTTTATATTTATAAGCGCGAGAATTCTAAAGCCGCAAAGTATTGAGGCACGCGCGTGAGTGTGGGTGGATGTATCACGTATCGTATATGGAATGATCCACGCGTATCCACACGTTCGTGCATATACATATATATTTGTTTCATGTTTCATGCTCATTGGTTCCCCTTTCACATGAACTTTGCGCGGCCCGGTCTCGTCCTCATTCGGAATTGCACGTACGTTATCCTAACGTAAGTCGCATACGTGCAATCGCACCGACGTTTCTATTCCGCACGCGGACGGATAATTAGTTCGAATGAACGTGATTTCCTCGCGCGCGGACGACGATCGCGCGTAGATCTTTTCGACGATCACGCGCGCATGTTCGCCGGCCGAATTGATCGATTTGTGATCGGCCGGCTTGATCTTCGCTGTTAAACGGGCGCGACCCGATTTCCCACACGGCGCGGCGCGGTGGCCGCGCGCGTGTTATATACACTTGGAAATTGCAGTCGGATTACGAGCAAGGCGAGCGGCGTCGAATCGAGAACCAACTATACATATAAGCGCGGTCGAATCTCGCCTCTCAAGGCATGCCGATCGCGAGATTGCTCGTCGTGCGCGAAGTGCCTATCGCCGTTAAATGAAAGCAATTGCTTTCCGATTGATCCGAGAAATTAAAATAAAGCGACTACGAAAATGAAAGAAAATAGATGGTTAACATCGCTCTTGCGAGGA